ACCAGGGATGAGGTCCCACTTGCACGGATTCAGCCTTTCTGGCCGTAGATTGAGAAGATCAATGGTGCGGGGACCCATGAAAGCAAGACGTCACTCAACCGCCAGCAAGGCGAGCAAGACGGACACGGATGATATTCTTAAGCAGATGTGGCGAATTCATAGCGCGACACGTAGCCAGTCCAAATCGTCGAAATCGACTTGGGCAAGGTCGCACTTGCTCTCAAAAAACAAACAAACAATAAAATTTCTCACTTGCTAGATTTTTAGTCCCTGGACATCGATCTGCTCAAGCCTCAAGTTACGGTCAGACTCAAAAAAAAGAAAAGAAAAGAAAGTTACGGTCAGACTCGGAAGGTGGGACCTCGGGCTATGGTCAGACCTGAGGATCGGTGGGCACCTGGCCCGTTTTGATTTGAAAAAAAAAAAGAAAGAAAGACCTGAACTTTTTCAAAGAGGACCTGAAGAATTGGGATCGGTGGGACCTCCCCCCTCGCCTGTGCATGAGGGCGACACATACAGATCTAGAAATTATGGCCCAAAAAGAAAACCAAGTGGAGGTCAGAAGCCTCTACACCACGGCATTGGAACGGAGCAAGGCCTAGAAAGACCTGGGGAGAGGGGTTTGTGTGCCATTCTTGACCTGTTTATCCACACCTACATAATAGGCTACATTTGAAGCCACAGAGGAGCAAAATGGGGGCACCTTCTTCTTTTTTTTTTTTTTTTTTTTTGGCATGTCATCCTTGCGCAGGGGCCATGCTAATCTTCTCTGTATCGTTCCAATTTTAACAGATGTCCCGAAGGACATGGGGGCACCTTCCACTTCTCACCACATGCTGAAATTTTATAGGTAAATACTAAATTATAGCAGTATTAAAGCACCGGTGCTTGGCCCATACGTCCGCCGCGGGCCCTTGGTCTCCAGTTCGTTGTTGGGCGCACAGGGCGCTGCAAGGGTCGGACTCTGAGAAAAGTGCCTTGGAAGTTGGAAGTACTGGTGGCCTGAACCACCAGTACTTTCGAGGCACTTCGTTTTTTTTTTTTTTTTTTTTTTTAAAAACACCCCCACCAGTGTTAGTGCTACTGGTAAGAGCAGACACCACTAACACCTGGTGACCTGGGGAGAGGCTCCATCTATTAGTGGGGAGCATCACCTGCTGGAAAACGGGTCCAGCGTCCCTTGAAAGAAACTTGTGAGATGTGCCAGCATTGATTACCCTGCAACACGGGATTGACTGAGCAGACCCTATGAGAATAGCGGCTAATATGGAGTCTGCCAGCATTGATTGCCCTGCAACCCAGGGGATTGACTGAGCAGATCCTGTGTAATATCCAGTAAAGTGGCCATGTGTGAGCATGCAGGGCAGCCAATCTCTTTTGTATCTCTTCACCCTTATAAAAAGGGCGTCAGATAGACCGCTAGGGACTGATACTAGGGACTGGTACTAATCAGGGGAGCCGCACACTTCAAAACCATGCTTAGTTGCATTCAGAACCCTCATGCTCAATTGCTTCCAGAATACTCAAAAGGTCAGCATTGACTACCTCAACAGAAGGTAGAGTAGAAAAAGGCAGTGTCGGGGCCCTCCCCAGGGGGCTCCAGGGAGGTGTTCCGCTTTGTGAAAGCGTGTGCGGTTTGCAAAGGAAAGTATTATGCTCAAGACAAGATCTCTGTTAGAGACAGGGCATGAGGAGGAAAGCGGTCTGGAAAATCCGAGGGAGGGTGTAGAGGGAAGGAGGGCTCTATGTTAGTCCAGTCCTTAAGGATTAGATGATAGTCTCTTATTTGCTCCAAATCATACGGCCCAACTCCCCTGTCCCCACTCCATTCAATTTTTGCAATCCATCCTTCTCTTTCTCCCCCCACCCAGTCTGTGCAAAAGGTCGTAATCCGTCTCCTGACATCTCCGATTTGCTTGAAAAGGTCTAATTGGGATCTTATGTCCAACCATCTCTGCGTAAGCTCAAGGTGAATCTGCTGCAGAATCTGTTCTAGAACTTCCGCCTCTTCCACCCGCACCCTTTCCATGGCCAGGGTGCACCTCTGCCACCAAAGAGCCCAAATCACTACTCTCCTTCCCAGTTTGTACATATTCCCTACGAAGGTTGAGGCCGTTTCTGCCAGCGGCCAATGCCCAGCCAATATGGCCTCCCATGACCAGGGCTAGGGAATGTCTGGTTCCATCTTCTGCCATATACAGTCCCACCATCTCCATATGAATTGAGCAATCGGGCATTGCATGAAGATGTGCTCAATGGCCTCCGTTTTTTTGTGGGGGGGGAAGAGACTTTGGCACCGCTGGCACCAAGGGAGCAGAGGGTTGTGCGGTCAGCCAACCAATCGTTGGTTGGCAGACATCGGTGTGCTATTTGCCACTGAAGGGAGGTGATTTTCGTGGGCTTGGATTTTTGTTCCTTGAACCATTGGATTGGCGATAAGACGGATCGATCCACATTCATCTGCTTGGCTCATCTATCGTTGATCAAATCCTTCAGATACCGCTTAGGTCTGAGCATTTTGTAAGCGGATTTGACCGTTAATTGATGCAGGCTAAAATGGCTTACCTTGGGGGTTCCCCTCTTTTGAGGAGGCAGCCAAGTCCATTCCACTGGATCAAAAGCCAGGTCCTGGGTTGTTTTATCGGGCTGGTATGCCACCCTTTGTCCTTTCTCTTCTAGAACCCTCACCCGATACACTACTTCTTTCTTTATCCATTCAAAAGGTGCTCTACTCCCTTGGAGGGTTCCCTTTTTGGTGATGGTGTGATGTTCGACCAGGACTAGTTGGGGTGAGATCATGTGAATCTCGTCGATCCTGGACAGGGCCCCTGTGCATGCCACCCAATCCCCTATTCTCAAGGTAGGGTCATGTTTGAGGATCCGGTACTATTCCAGTGGGATGGCTTCAATGAGACTCTCAAAGAGTTCTTCCACACGGTGGCAGACTGACAGTACTTTAAGGATGTTCGCATTTGTTCCTCAGTTTTTCAATCGTGTCTGTCATGGTCTCAGAGATCCCCTACCCTTAGGATGCCACGTCTAACCTAAGTTTTTCAGGGCAGGGTTGAGCTCTTCATGACGCAGCCCCTTGTGTTCGTTACCCATCTGTTCCCAAAGAGAGGTTGTCGGTGGACCTCCTCCTAACGGTTGGGGTGGTCCTTGTCTGGGAGCGAGAGATTACGCCAGGTCTGCAGCAAGGATGGTCAGAATGTGTCCATCGATTGAGTCTCTCCTTCCGGCCTGTCCCTGGCTAGTGGGAGTTTGTATGGGACTGTCCAGAAACGATCCTCCAGCCATGTCAGCGGATTGATCTTATGGGGGGCCTCCGGGGCCATTCGAGCCAAATGTTCCAAAGCTAAGATACACCACGGGTTATGGGGGGCGAAGATGAGCTTCTTAATCCATTTTATACGAAGGGCTTGGACCTGTGTGGCTGGGTCAATTATTCCCAATCCTCCTTCTACTTTAGGTTGGATAATTGAGTCCCAAGCTATACGACTTATTACGTTGGTCTTCTCCCCATCCCCTCTCCACAGGAAGGCTGCTGCTTTTTTCCTCAAGCTTCTCAGGGCTGCTTTGCTAAGTGGCCACAGCAAGAATTTGTACCATAGGGATGCAAAAATCACATTATTGATAATCAGCGCTCGACCGAAAAGGGATGTGTGTTTGTTCCTCCAGTTATTTAGTTTATGTTGGGCCGGGTTGCTAATCCACTCATCGTTAATTAGCGGCCGTCCCTCAGTGGTTATGGATACACCCATAATTCTTATTGGGGTCTCTAGTGGTTTCCATGCGACTCATGGCGACTCTGGCAGACCCTTGGTAGTGGATCCACCAACCCTATGTTTTAGAACCCCAATTAACTACCATATCAGACACCTTAGCAAACTTTTCCTTCATCTGCTGAATTTCCTCCATATTACAGTGTGTGGTCTCTGTCATTATTGTGAGGTCATCCGCGAATAGGGAGCACACCGAGATTGCGCCCTCCGGGATACGTGTGACATGTATCTTTGTAATATTTTTATTAGCCCAGAGATTGACGGCTGGTGCTTCCATAACGACCAGGAAAAGAAAAGGGGTTATTGGGGCGGACTGATCTCTCCAAGTGTAGAAGCAGTGCGAGGCTCCCGTTGACTTGGACACATGTGGTAGTGTTATGGTGCAGGATTTGTATCCAACGTCGAAAATCTGACCCGAAATTCATTTTTTCTAGACATTTGTCCAAAAACAACCAGTCCATGTGGTCATAGGCTTTTTCAAAGTCGATGAAGATCAGAGCCGCATTTTGTCAGGAGTGGGTCGTAAGTTGGAGAACCTCATGGATCAGCAAGATGTTTTCTCGTATGTTTTTGTTTTCCATGAAGCCAGTTTGAGCGGGATGGACTTTCGATGCACTTCAAATTTCACCGGGGCTGGAAACGCCCTGCGTGCCAAAAAAAAAAAAAAAAAAAACGGTGAGAACCTCCTTTTGGCTTGTGCCGCCAGCCATTTTGCTATGTGCCTTGAAAGCACTGGCGGTCTGAACCACCAGTACTTTCGAGGCACTTTCTCCGGGGCTGGAAACACCCTACGTGCCCCCCCCCAAAAAAGGAACCGGTGAGGACATCCTTTTGGCTGGCTGGTCCCGCCAGCCATTTTGCTCTGGAGACCGAGCCTCGAAATTTGCAGCTGCATGCAAGCCACAATTTTTTTTCATACCAGGAAACGTATTGGTGGTTTACTACCGTAATGGAAGTGATTCGAACATACAAAATCCAGAAGGTTCCCCACATAGGTTTTCCCCAAACACTTCAGGTAACTAGAGTGATGAGGGCGAACAAAGCGCCGTATTTTGACACTAATCTTGGAAAATAAGCTAAAAATAAGATGTGCAGTCACATTGTCAAGAAACAATACACCTTATCCAATTGATGGCTCGTCCAATCATCCGCCACGTTCCGTACCTTCATCCCGAGGTCTCCGGCAGCCGATCGGCTCGTCCGATCATCCGCCACGTGTCCTACCTTCGTCCCCTTCCTCCTTCCCCATCTTCGCCTAAGCTTCATCCGATTCCTCCTCCGCTGTAGAAGAGGATGACGACTGTTTATCGCCTGTCTCTCCGTCTCCTTCTCGTTCTCCTTCCGTTACTCCGTCCCCGTCGCCATCGCCATGAGTTTTCTTACGGAGCGAGCTCTCGGCGATCCCCTGTTGGTGCCACGGTGTCACATCTCGGCAATCCGACAAGTTCACCATTCGCGGCTCAGTGCGGACCTTCGGCAACTTGCACAATTCTTTTGTACTCAGGGAGTGTACGCAGCCGCTGAATTTCGTTTTGCAGGCAGTCCCCGGGCGGTTGTGTTGGCGGAGGCGGTAACAGTTCATTGGCGATCGGCTCTTGGAATCAGCCACATGTCTACGGTGGTCGCCTTTAGTGGCGACATCAACACCATCGGCCCGCTGCGGCATACATCCATCAAGACGTCGCTCCGGCTCTGGGCGCAGCAGTTGGCGGCGGTGTGGAATCGTTGGCTCACGCCCCATGCAAATAACCTTTTTCCCATGGACAACGTCGATCTCGACGGGATCCGAACCTTCCAGCACGAGCCGGCGGTGGTGCTCCCGGAAGGGCCGGAACTCGTCCCCTTTCCCTGTCCTCAATGAACCCATCCCCGATCTCGACTTTCGACCTCCCCTCCTTCTTTCCCACTTTCTGGCAATCCTGAGTCCATCCGCACCTCTCCTTTTGTCTAGAATCACTCGTTGTCCCCCTCCTTGATCCCCAACAGTAGAGGCGTTGGCGAGAACAGTTCATCGAGCTGTCGGTGTGCCTGGTCGGAGTAAAGGTCACGTGGACGCGGCACGAGGATCACCGCCAGTGGGTCGAGTACCTCGAGCTGCTTATCATCCAGGCGTGGCGAACGGAAGTGGAAGCCGATCTGCTCGGATTCCTCTTCGGATCAGTGCGGCCCGATCATCGCCAACTGATCGTACAAGAGTTAACGGTCCCCCTTGCGCTGCTGGCCGACGATCTCCCTCTTGAGATCGTCTCGCAGAGCGACGACAGCCCGGTCCCGCACGTTCTCACGCGGACCTTAGCGCCATATATTCAGTGGTCGGCGTGCTTGGAGGAACCAGGGAGCGGCCGCAACCCACCATCACAGCGCGGTTATTTGGACCCGCACGAGATAGTCGACCTCGCCTTCTTCCAAGATCGGACGACTTCCGAGAATGAGGAGGTAGAGATTGAAGCGGAAAAAGAAAGCTCGGAAGAAGAAGAAGATGTCGAAGAAGAGGCCGACGAGGAAGAAACTCCCGAAGAGGGGAGTTACAGTGAGCACAGTGAAGGGGAGCAAAGTGAAGAAGAGGAGGAAGAAGAGCAAGACAACGGAGAAGAAGAAGAAGATCAGGAGGAGTTGAAAGAGTCAGAGTGGGAAGGATTCGAGGAGGAAGTGCGAGCGAGGCTCAACGCAGGCCCAAGCTCAGAAGAGGGAAGAAATCGCGGTCGGGAAGAGACAGTTGGAGTTCGCCAGCGCAGCCGGCCAGCCGCTCACCGACGATCCGGCCCGAGATCCAGAGCCACCTAAGCCCGAGGATGGAGAGACAGCTCCCGAGACTTCGGCCACACCAGCGAGACGGCGACGAAGCCGATCCCCCTCCCCCTCCATTACCAACTTCCCACCAACTCGTCCACGTACCGATGTGGGGCATCGGGCTTCGTCCCCGGTCGTTATCCCGCCATCCCCTTGACCACCTCTCTTTCCGCCAGATTACCACTCGCGTCACCTTCCCCGACAATCCCTTCCCCATCGATACCTTCCGCTGTTTCTACACTACCCGCCTCGCTGTCACTGTTCATCCCCACCCTTCCACCCGACGCGCCCTCCCTATCTTCTGCCTCCATATCCTTTTCCTTAGTGTCACGTGGCGAGGCCACAATATGATCGAGGTATACTGCATGCGTACGGGGACTATCCCCGCATGCGAGAACCACGATCACTTCCGCGCGGCCCTTTTCCGAACCTTTACCACCCTCTACCCCGACTACCTCGTGTCCCTCCCCCACACAGGCAACCGATTCCCCCGCTTTCACCGGATCGTTCACTATCAGGAACTCCCGGAGACGGTGGCCGAAATGGAGAGCTTCCTTCCCCCTCTACCCATCAACCCTCCCCCTCGCCACCCCTCCATGTATGGTCTCCCCTTTCCCCTCCCCGACGCTCGCTGATGTATGACTGATGGGCACGCGTCATGACAACGACACGTGTAATCCCCTCCTTGGATTGTTGATGGCCCTCCCTGAGGAATTAGCAATACAGCTGTGTTGCCACGATTGGATGACGTTCACACTCCTTCGAAGTTCGAACGATAAGTGGCATGGAAAGAAGAGCTTCGCGTATCGATCGATTAGAGAGATCGACACATATCAACAAGCAAGCAGGGGCTTGCTAATATTGGAACCCCCTGGGCATCACATCTGTGACGAACCACTTTTTGTAGCGGCGCGACTTTCTGCGCGGTTGCAATGAGGGGTCCTAAGCTGGGAAGGTTGGGCCAATTACGGGAGATTGGGATGGATGAGAAATTGCATCCGTACCCTCGCTTCTTCGTTTTTTGCGTCGATTCTTTTCGGATGGCTGAGTTCGGAGCCGGGTGTGTCCCAAGACGGGTGATTGATTGGTCGGATGGTTGGCGCGCCGCCAAGCACACAATTAATAAATGTTGACGTCATTTCGTTTTTATTCGGTTTATGAACTTTGAGGCGCGGACATCGCACGGGAATTTACTTCGTTCTTTTTTAATTTTCTTTTTGAATTCTTTTTCGAATTTTGTCGAGCCCCGATGGCTCTCGGAATTTCGGACTTTCCTTCCGGAACCTGTACTTTTGCTTTTTCGCATTAGTTAGGAATTTAGGAATTTTGTAATTAGGACTTTCTTTTGTCGTGCGGCGCCTTTTGCTTACGCGCTCCTTCATGCGGCTGCAATGGAATTCTGATTAGTCGTCGCCTTTAATCGGGTGTGTAAATGTAATTTTGGGTTGGCTCCATTGTAACCGTATCTTTCTTCTTGCGCTTCGTCTTTCCCGCCCTCCTCTTTCTTTTGCTACGTTTTTGTAGCCACGGTCTGCATGCTCGGATCGATGCGCGGAGAGTGGCTACGTCCCCCACGCCGCGGCCCGGTCATGCATAACGCAGGCGCTCCCTCTCTAATCCTCTTTCCCAAGTCCTTGTAATTTTGTGTTCTTCACGCAATCATGCACACTATAAATTTCAGCTGCGCGATTAGTTAGCTCTCTTAACCAGCTGTTGGAAGCTCGAGGTTTCTCGATCAGAGAGGGTCGGCACACGAGCGAAGTAAGAGGTGAGTAGAGCAGGAGTCGGGCGACCCGACGAGCTGGTGCCAAACGTGAGGGGTTGATGCAGGCCACGACGGACTGTGGGCGTGGGCGAACCTGACGGGTGCGGGAGGACTAAGCGGGTTGATGGCTTCGTGGGTTGGTGCGCAACGACGGACTGTCCGCATCGGGGAGAGAGAGAGAGAGAGAGAGAGAGAGGAAGAGGGAGATGAGGTTGATGGACGCGGATTTAGTGTTTCTTTTATTTTTTTTCCCTCTTGTCTCGTGTATATAAATTTTGATTTCGGCTCCGGGCGATCTGCCCGTTTTTTGTTTTTCGAAATCTGGATTTGGGTTTTGCTCACACTTGTCTTCACGATTTCCATCTCAGATGCATTGTGTGTATGTTGCTGACTGAATAAATGAATGGATGCCATGTTTGATTACCCATCTTCCTATCGGATTCTTGCCCTTGCCCTTGTTTATTGCGTTTGATGCGCAATCGGTAATCCTATTCTCGTTTTGCTTGTCTTTTGATGGGGCTGTGTGGTTGTCGCATATTGCATGCTCAAGAATTACTGAGCGCTTCGATGATCGGATGTCTGGCCCAGCGAACGCCGCGCGGGGACACGTGTAAACGCGATCTGAGTTGCGCACTTACACGTATCCCCGTGCGTCGATTCGTCAATCCCAAAAGGACCATCGATTACAGAAGCACTGTCTGATTGGACGTGGCCATCCAGGGTCCGCGACGGAGCAGTCATCCCGTACGAACATGTGTAAGCCCGATTAAATTTGCGTGGCCTGCACGTGCTCGCACGTGGTGATCGCAATCGCCACTGACCCGCCCTTAGGCATCTCATAACTCTGCGATGATACAATGACACGCTCAGAGAGCTCGGAGTCATTGCTATACGCCCCGGACTACACCCCGTGGGTAAACGAAGTCCTCCGACAGAGATACCCCTGCCTAACCGAGAACCGACTGTGTCCTCGAGAGTTTCACTGCGCCACCACTAGCGACCCCAGGTGCTCTGATTTCCCCACTCAGGACCATACCCACTACTTCACCCACCCCGGGTTTGTCGTCATCTCCACCATCTTCCCTCCCTTTCGCCTTCTTCTTCCATATCACCAACTCAGCGTCGTCCCGTGGAAGGCCATAGCCCCGTACTGGCCCAGCACGCCTTACAAAAATTGTCGACGACGCCCGACTCATCGGAACCCCACCCACCCCGAAGGGACCTCCCCGCAAACCGTCGTCCTCGGAACCAATGGCTCGCCCGCCCTTGAGCGACCCACGCATACCATCTGCCTTGTGACCAGAGGCGGTCCGCCCTCTCCGCCAAATTGCACTCGTGCCCCCGAAGAAACCCTGCCACATGAGATCTCAGTTCTGACCTGGGACTCCACCCCCCCCCACTTTCCAAAAATCCTTGGCACACCCCTTTTCGCACTTCCAGACCCACATCCTACTCCGATTAAGAAGTCGCGCTGGGCGTGAGGTTAGGGCATCACAGTGCTTCATATTCTTGAGAAACCATTTGTAAATTATGCATTGTTTTTGAGTTACGAAAGATGTTATGGGACGGTGGCACCTGGTGTCAGCAGTTTCTGCTCCTCTAAAATAGATGGAGGGATCCTCAACAACTTAGAATTCAAAGCAGGGGATAAGTCGCAGTAGCGGGGCGAGTCCATGCCGGTTCCTTCCATCCAATCCGAACATCTCACGAAAATAAGACCAAAACCCAGCTAGCGGGACTTACCCCCAGACCTCGAGGGAGGGAGGGTGACAAACTCATCCTGTTTTCCTTTTCTTTTTTTCGGGTCTTACTCCTAACGAGACCCGGCCAACCCTCCATTCATCAATTCTCCCTTGCGCACCCCCCCCAAGTCCTACCTGGTATCTGCCACCCTGGGTCACCAGGGTGACCTGATCGGACAATGATTGCAAGCACCAGCCCTAGTAAGGGGAATCTCCACTCGCCCTAGTTGAAGCATATCCGGATGAGTCGTGTCATTCAGGCACTTCAGGCGATACTTGTCGCGATAAGTGTGGATAGTAGTCCCAGTATCTCTTCAAGCCCTAAGCGAGGACCGTAGATGCCCCCCCTGGGCCAAGGCCTAGCACCTGACTCCCTCTATATATCTGAGTGCTCCCTTGCGCCTACAGGTAGTGTCGAATGACCGAGGTCACGGCCTCACCCATGACAGCCCCCTGAGCAATCCCGCGCACTCCCCCTACCATAGCACTAATTGTTACCATTGCAGCATTGTTTTTTCATCATTGATAATGTTGTTCCTGATCTTCTTAACGCTTTTTTTTTTAAATAACTTCATTTTGTACATAACTGGGACGCTGGACCTTGTTTCCAGCAAGTGGAACCCTCCAACCGGGGAAACACTAACACTAATAGATGGAACCCTCCAACCGGGGAAACACTAACACTGCCTAACAGAGGTTCAACTTGCTCTTGTCACACCTCCATATGTGGCAACCCCCTCAACAGAGGTTCTTGCACAAAAAAAAAAAAAGAGAAACATCCACTGAGGTTCCGGATGCTCTACACTTTTATGGTGTGTCTATACATGATGGATCTCTGTTATCTGTTCAATTTAAATGTAGGGTCAGTCCAGAGCTAGAGCAGCGTCGGGTCTTCTTCTTTATTAGGATCTTCGACCTCAGAGATGGTTGCACCTGGACTGACATCAATAGGGTTGCTCTGTTGTATGCTCTCAACTTGCCAATGCCAGAACGACGCTGGCTGGAGCTGGGGTGTTACCCTGTAACCTGCCACAGTGCCACGGCAGGAGCGCGAGGCCTTGTAGAGAGATCTGGGGTTTGCCGAGGGAGGAAGGCAATCCAGTGGGGAATTGGGGGGGCCGCTTTGACACCCTCTGGGGCGAGAAGAGGTCAGCTATGGTTGATGTTGTTTTGGTGGGTACTGTCTTTGAGTAGTAATGTCCCTGTATAGGGAGGGCTAGGAGTTGCTCTCGGATTAGGAAGCCGGAATAGCTGATATAGCATAGTACTCACAATCCTTTAGATCTAATAAAGGTGGTGCAGTCAATTTCTTTAGAATTCTCAAAAGAAAAAAAAAAAGCATAATCATCTTCATCATCATCATCATTAGTATCATTATCTCATCAATGTTATATTAAGACTTTCTGGTGTCCTCAAATTTTTTGGCAGCATCAAGTTTTCTTCCACATCCGGGATATAGGATTTCCGGGATGGTCGAACCCGGACCGATATCTGCAGAGTTGTTTTTTTTTGTGCCCCTGTTTTGCCGACGCCAGA